TTGTTATTTGGTCCGGGCCTGGGGCTTTCCGAGTAGCTAGACGTCTTACGATATCTTTCATTTCCTCGGGAGATGTTGGTGCCAGGGGTTGCGCATTGTCCCTTCTTTGTCTTCCGAGTCTACGTACCGTCGTTTTGACCTGTGTCTCTATTTCTTCTACTTCGTCCGTGAACGGGACGTCGTTCACTCTACACTGTCTTTCAAAATTGTCCGCAAATGCTTCCGCTTTCTTTTGGTTCGTGTAGACGATTCCTTGCTCGCCGTGTATTGGCGGGCATAGCTTTCTAGGTCCCTTCCTAAGAGTTTTCTGCATTCTCCATGCAGATTGGTCTTCGGTGTTTAGTTCTTCCAGACGGGTTGTCCATTGTTAATCTCGGATTGCTTTTAGTTCCTCTCATAGTATTCTAACGGCTCTTTCTCTTTGCATACACCCTTTGTCCATTGGTACGCGTGTCCGTTGATATAATCTTTTCAGGTGTCTTCTAATTCAAATGAGCTTCAATGTTTCTGATAAGTTGAAGCGCTGGGCTGGGACTTCCCGTGCGCTTCTTTCCATTGTTTGGGTGATCGCCTGTTGCAGCTGTTGTGTGGCGTTCTCCAGATCGGTCTTTGTTTCTATGTGTGGTATGTCTCCATCGGAATGGTGCACTTCACCTCTTCCTATTGTAAATAGGATGGGGTCGTGGTCTGGGACTTGGACTTCTCGTGGGTAATATGTAAGGGTGGTGATGGGTGGTGATCTGAGAACATTTATGAGATGTAGGTTATATCAAATCTAATACATTGCGGAGGCAAGAATACAGTCGAAATTCTCAGCTGTTCGTAGCATTTCAGTTTCACTCTTACCGCTACTGCTTCTCCGAGTTGTATTTCTGGCTTCGTGTTGCACTAGTTCTGCTTTTACTAGTAGCGCCGCGACCCGCGCGGCGCAGTGTCCCCCTGGCCTGTCAGTCCTATATAGGATTTATCCTGGGAGGCGGTAGTTCTTCTCACTCCTTATCCTTGTCTCCTGTAGTGCCATGACGTCTATGTCTAGTCGGTGGCGGCTTACCTGCTTCTGCGGTTGGCATCACTTCCTTAATTTTTATGTTTGAGGTCGGTACAACTTCTCCAGTGGTTGGCCTCTCTACATTATTGATCGGTTCTGCTGTTACCTGAATTTTGGTTGGCACCACATCTTCAGTGGCTGCCTTTTCCGATTCTGTCGTGTCTTCTGTGTCTTCTGATGTTTTTTCGCGGCTGCTTCTCTCCGGGCCACGTGTTCGCTTGGTTTGCCTTGGATCTTCTTTGTTTTTGGGGTTGGACTGTTCTGACATTTTGACTTTCTGCTGACGAAGCTTGTGGTTTTCCCTCTCTAGGAATTCTAAATTTTTCTCTATAATTTCCATTATAGGGCCCTAAAAAACCTAAAAAGAGAAGCTGAAAAAAAAAATTTGTTTGTGTGCTTGGCACACGAGTAGTTCTGATAAGAACTTAGGTCATCGACCCCTTTGGCATTCACTCCTAGGTAGTCACTTTCACAATAGAACTTAGTTCAGGCACTATTCACTTTCGTCTCAATACGTCTGATCGCTACGAATGTTCGACTCGAAGTCGTGCCGCTCTAGAAGCAGCGAGAATAATGCTACCTACCGATTTCGATGGAACTTCAGCGAAATTTGTACTGCAATCGATTACGATATATAAACGCTAGCCTCTAGCATATCGACACAGTCAAGTTGACGTTACAGTGCTGTATGCGAAGTGATCTAGTAAGGCGATAGACATTCAAATAATAGTTGAAGTTTTAGTTGAAGGGTTTGTTGTATTTAAGGTGAAATAAAGTTAAGTTTGATTATTCAGTGTAGTCAATTATTGATCGACCCACGGGGGAAAACGTAACATTTGGAGTCAGAAATGGAATAATTGACTGAAATTTTACTGTTCTATGGTAAAAACAAGGAGTGTCAATTACGACGGAATGGAAAAGCTTGAAAAAATGTTTGAGGCTTTGTAAGCGAGCCTGGCGGAGAATGAAAAACACAGAAGAGAGGAAAATGAACGCAAAAGAGAGGAAGATGAACGCAAAAGAGAGGAAGAACGATTACGCCGAAATGAAGATCGTGAAATACTACGGGCTACTACGTAAAGACAACACCATCAATATCTATCCTGCAGATAAGGGAAACGCTACTGTTGTGATGGATACTGATCTCTACGAACAGAAGATCGAAGAGGTGCTTCAGAAAGAAAAATACACGAAGATCGTAAGAGACCCTACTGCATTAATGGAATTACAACGCGAGAATTTTC